TAACAGCAAGGGGACATTAACATTTTAATTAACAATTTTAATGGCTTACCCCAAATAATCCTCCTGATTTGGAAGGATTAGATTCCATTTGACAAAATCATTGATGCACGTGGAAAGAAGTCTCACGGGCTGCTTACTGCTACAGCAGGGCTTGGGGAGGCCACAGCTGGTGGGAACGGCTGTCCCCAGGCAGTGAAAACAGCCCTGCACCTGAAGCCAGGCTCTTAAAATCAACCACAGGAAGCTGGGCATCCCCGCGGCCCGAGGTGAGGGAGAGGAAAACACTCTCGACACCCACCCTCAGCCTCAGACGACTTTATTTCCTTGTGTGTTTCACGCACGCCCTGTCCACCTCCCTCCCTCTTGATTTTCCCTCCAAGTCATTAGAGATTCGGTATATTTAGATGGTGCACAATTTATAATCCAAATATCGCTTCGAGAGGTTAAGGAAGACACAGCAGGAAGGTGACCCTGCTACTGAGTTGGAAACATTGATGCTATTAAAACGTCCATACTACACAAACTGATCTATAAACAGTGTTGTTGCTGACAAAAATCCTTACTATCATGGCTTTAAAATGATGCTTTTTCTTTCTTTAAGATTTATTTAGCTGGGCGGTGGTGGCGCACGCCTTTAATCCCAGCACTCGGGAGGCAGAGGCAGGCAGATCTCTGTGAGTTCGAGGCCAGGCTGGACCGACAGCCTCGAAAACAATACAGAGAAACCCTGTCTCGAAAAACCAAAAAAAAAAAAAAAGATTTATTTATTGTGTATATACTATTCTGTGTGCACGTATGCTTGCAGGCCAGAAGAGGGCGTCAGATTTCATTACAGATGGCTGTGAGCCACCATGTGGTTGCTGGGAATTGAACTCAGGATCTCTGAAAGAGCATCCAGTGCTTTTAACCTCTGAGCCATCTCTCCAGACCTTTCTTTCTTTTTTTAATCTGATGCTTTATGAGTTTGGATTTTGTGTAGGTGTGTATGTCTACATGTGTGTAGCCAGAGACTCTGGGCCCCCGGAGCTGGAGTTACAGACAGCTGTGAGCCCCTGACGCTGATGCTAAGAACTAAGCTTAGGCCCTCTGGAAGAGCAGCCAAAGCTCTTAGCCGCTGAGTTATCTCTTCAGGCTCTTGTTTGTTGTTGTTTTTTAATTTAATTAAATTAAAGATATTTTGGGTGTGTATGTCTGCATGTGCTTGTGTGTGTGAGCGCTGGCTTGCTCCGGTTTTTGTAAAGCTCAGAGGTCAGGCTTCAGGAATCAGTTCCTATCTCCCACCTTGTGGGAAGCAGAAACTCTTCTGTTTGTGCAGCTGCGCTGACTACTTCAGGCTAGCTGGCCGGCAAGCTTTCAAAGGGGGTGGCTCCCCTGTCTCAGCCCCCCACCTCACCACAGGAGTTCCGGGCCACACCTGTGCTACTGAATCCAGCTGGTCACATAGGCCCTGGGGATCCAAAACCCTTACTCACGAGCCATCTTCTTAGCCCCCGAATTTTCAACAACGATTTCCCACACATCTGCCAGCTGGCGCTCCCACAGTTCTCTGTCAGTACAAACCTTTCTTCTCTGTTTGCTACATTGTTAACTCACCCACTTTTGGGGTAGGAGCTCACAGACTTTTTTTTTAATTGTGAAACAAATGTTTATTGCAATTTTTCAAGTTAGTTGTACAACTAATTCATGATAAATTTCCAGGCATATTTTATATTATTTCTTCAGGACTACAGTTTTTCAGTGACTTCAAACTTTAGGTCTTCAAATTGGAAGGTAGGAGAAGCTCTGCTCAGCCCTTGCTACTACTCTGGGGCAGTAGCAGCAGGTTCCCCAACATATGGCTTTGATACAGACTGTCTTACCCCATCAGTGAGGAGTTTCTCTACAGGATCAATTTCCCTGTTAAACACTTCACCAATGCCCCTCTACAAGTGCTCAGAGACAGCCCAGCACAGGACAGAGAGAGCCTTCAGAGCCCCAGAAGACCACAGTGTCCCGCGTTGCTCGCACTGAGTCCCGGTCTGCCACAGATGCCACCACAATTCCAGACACGCGTTTTTAATGGCTTATAATCCACTTCTTCCCTCTCGGTGCTGGTGCTTAAGCTGTCCCAGGACTGGCTAGTTAAGCCCCCTCCTCTGTCCCTTGTACTTGTCCCCTGTCATGTTTAGACTTCTCAGTCACTTTACAGCAAAACAACATTTAGCAAAAGAAGGGAAGAGAAGAGAAAACCATGGAGAGGTAGAGAGAGACAAGGAGGGGCCGTGTGAGGAGATTGACAGCACAGGGCGGGGCAGACTAGGGGCCTCCGTGAGAAGCGGCCATCTCCCATGACGTCAGGCCCGAGTGTTGCATGTGAGAGACCTTGGTGGCTCCTGCCCTCTGAGACCGTTCTTGACGGTTATAAATGAACGAGGCACAACCTGAGAGGGACTGGGGAGTTGGGAGGGAAATGTTCCTCAGCTCTTGGCATCCATCCAAGCATCTAGACACAGCTTTATAGAAATGATTCCACATTTTTCAATTGTATTTACATGTCTGTATATACTATACACATCGAATACATGTATTATACATGTACATCACACACACATATATTTGGTCTGCTGTATATTTTCATTCTTTGTATGCCCCCCCCCCCAGCTCTCTTGTCTTTATACTGTGTTGACCTTGTTTGGGCCAGCCTCTTCTCCCAAGGAGGCAAGAGTTCCTCCTGAGCCGTTCTATATTAACCAACCAAAAAGCCCTGCCGTGTCTGTGACTAGCTCAGAGTCTCTCTGTGCCTAGCACTCTCCTCAGCCAGGCCTGGGCTATGAACTCTCCTGTAGAACAGGAAGTGTGGGTGAAGCCTGCCAAAACACACAGGCTGGAGGCACAGAGATGGCCAGCTCACCCGAGGACTCTGGAGCGCACGTACCACAATGAGAAAGGAAAATATGGAAACCTGACGGGAAAATCTCACGCTCTGTGTGTGGAGCCCAGGGCACGGTGACCATGAGATGGGCTGATAAACCAAGGTGTGGCCATTTTGCCAGGACAGCCCTTCCTCCCTCTGCACAAGACCCCTTACAAGAAAGAAGCCCCCAAAGCGCCCTTGGAGACCGAAGCCCCTGTCCACCTGTCCTGAGATCAGATGACAGAACTGCTGGACAGAGGATGGAAATCGGCCCAACCCTTTCTAAGGAGGAGGCTTTCCATCAAGACGGGCTCCTGCTTCACCATTTTCCCCTCAGCCTGGCAGGTCCCACAGGGACCTGTCTGTCACAGTGCTGTTACATCATGTCAGACGGCAATCGAAGGAGCTAGCTGTTAACTTAGGCTGACAGAGAGCTGTGGCAATCTGCTTATCTGGCTGCCACCCTCGCTGAGTAAAGGACCATTATCAGAGTTATTCACACAGTCTTACGGCAGCTGGAAGTCTACAGCGTTACTCATTACATCATCCTACTTTAGTCACTCAGCACAGATGGGACCTCAAAGGAGACTGCCCCCCCAAGAGGCCACCCTTCCCCTACACACCCAACGAGAATGTGGCATCACGTAAGGTCAGCCTCCAGTGTGCCTCTCTGTACCCGGGATCCGCCTTCTGTGTTCCCTCCACGGGTGTGAGCGGTCACGCATGAGACCCTGTCGAGATGCCTGCCAGTTAGACCCTTCCTCGGAAGGGTCCTGCCAATGCTGGTGTCCAGTGGTCCACAGCTATTCCACTGACCTTTGAACTTCAGACCCCGAAAGCGCTGTGCGCCTCCCACAAGGATTGCAAAGGAGAAAACACCATGTTCTTAGGTTGAGGCTCTTTCAAGAGTCCATAGACCCTCCCCAGCTTGCTCACATGAAGCCAACCATGATCTCCACCCCGGACACACCCCTCCTGCGCCTCCTCCTCCAACAAGCCTCCACCTGCAAGGCAAACACTGAGAGTTCACCCGACACGCGTGCATTCCCATGCAAACCCAACAAAATTGATGGCAGGAACTGTGGGAAAGAGGCAGGAAGAGAGAATGCGGTTAACAAGGTGGGTTCCGAGGCGTGGCTTCTTCACCGCTGCCATCCAATAATAGCATGAAGGAATATCACAGACTGGGCTGCAAGGCAAGCGGGGCAGGAGGGAGATCAAGGGTTAGAGGGGATGGAGCAAGTCTCTTTAATCTGTTTACCGACTCAGTCTCAGAACTGAGTTCTGCGCTCTGAGTTTCAGAGTGCAGCTATGCCCTGCATTAAACAGCACATCAGAACTGGGTAGCAGCCCTCACTCCCCTCTGGGTTTGACTGCCCCAGAAAACAGTCTTTGAAGATGCCTTCTCTAATTGGCTCTGGGTGGACATCTTTATGTTCATGTGACATTTTCCTATGTGGGTCTCTGTGTCCCAACTACTCCCTCGGATAAAGATACCAATCCTAATCTGATTAGGGCCTACCCTGATGACCTCATTTTGACTTGATTACATCTGTAAAGACCAGATATTCAAATAACCTCGCTTTCTGAGGTACTGAGGCAGAGTGGACACCAACCCAGACTGAGGGGTGTGGGTATGGCACAGAGAGAGAGAGAGAGAGAGAGAGAGAGAGAGAGAGAGAGAGAGAGAGAGAGAGAGAGAGAGAGAGGGTCCTACTATCCCCCTCCAGGCCACGCCTTTGATGACCTGTCTTTCTTCTACTAGGTGTTATGATAAAGCTTGAGGGGGGACCTTGGCGGATTCCATGGCAAGCAGACAGAGCTTAAGTGAGAAGTTAAGGGGAACCGCCGGGGAAGAGGGGGAAAGAGAGGACAGTGGAAAGAGAGCTACGTGGGCGGGGTCTTTCTTTCAAAGGGTCCTTTGCACCTGTGTGCAGACTAGGCAATCACGGAGCCCTGGGCTGACCGGGGTGCTGCCTGAGTGCATCCTGCCGTGACAGGGGCAGGCCAGCATAATGCCTGAGTCCTTACACGAGGTCCCGCCTCCCAGAAGTTCCACTGTCATCTGATAGCGCCATAGGCTGGAACTCGGGGAACATTCCAGGCCCGAACCGCAGCACAGCTGTAGGGCGGCTGGCGTCCCTGAGCATGACTCTCCTTTGGATGTTCCCTGCTTATTTTAGTTAAGAAGAGCATCACGAGACTGTGACGCCCTCTTAGCTGGACTCAGGTGACGTCCGCCTCTTGAAGCAGTGAACTGATGCGTCTGACTTTGGGCTTTGCAGCTGGGGTGTATGGGTGACCCTGCTTGCTTCAATGACATCCCCCAGCAAGTGAGTGATGGGGAGCCTCCCTCTCTTCTCCCCTCCGTGGCCCCAGACAAGGAAAACCAAGTCTATGAGTGCTGAGAAGCCCTCTCCCTGCTCCACAGCGCCCCGCTTTGCACCCCCATCCCCCACCCCTCCCCCGGCAGGCCATGAGTGAACTTTTGAGCTAGTTCCTGTTTCATCTTCTTCCTGTTAATTAACACGAAGTACCTGCTGCTGAGAAGTGCCCGCCAATTAGGTTCAGAGCAGACAAGTCTAAACACAGGCCTAGCAACTACAGGAGGAGGAAGGCTTGGGGGAGAGACTTGGCTCGTGGGCCCAGGGACTCCAACATTAGGGGAAGTGAGTGTGGGCTGATAGCGCACAGAGCTCGGGGTCCGAGTGTTCTTCCACGCTGGGCAGCTTCCCAGTGTACAGACTAGAGGCGATCCGTGGGTAGAAGGGCTTCTGGAAGTATCACCTGCCCTCCGCCACTTGTCCCAGCTTCCCATTCTCCCCCTGAATGGCCCACACAAGGTCTAGCCTTTGGCTCATGTAGGTTTTCCAGAACAGTCACCGAGACAGCGTTTTCTCCTGGCAAGCAGGACTTTCCAGAGGGTAGGCCCTTCACACCTTGTGTGGACACAGGAGAGTTTGGAGCTAGAGAGAGTGGGCAGAGGGAAGGGTCAGGCAGCTGGGAAGAGGGACAAAGGGACCCCCAGAGAGGGACTTCACTTGCTTGGGAAATCTGCCCCGAGGACAGCCTTGCTGCTGATCAAAAAATGTCAACTTGAGGTCGCTTCAGTCACTGCCGTCTACCAAAGAGGACAAAGGCCATTCTGTGGCCAGAGAGCCCAAGGCCAGAGGCCGGGTGTGGAGAAGGCATGTCTGTGATGCTACTGTCATAAAAACGGACTTCAGGGAGTGGACCCGGCTTTCCCTGAGAAGAGGAGCCTGGTGGAAAGGGTCTCGATGTCTTCTCTGCTTTACTGCAACACAGTCGTGGAGCGAAAACTGCGTGTGTATCAGGATTTCCTGGGTTCACTGCCTTCTAAGAAGCCTCACGACCTGAGGGTGACACTTGGCCATCCAAAGCATCTTTGTTTCGTGCTGAGAAAGTCCTCAGAGGGGAGTTAGCTCAGGGCTTCCTGTTTCAGCTGCTGATACACAATTCAGGGGTAAAGGTCCCTTTAGAGCCCTGCTTAGCATACACATGGCCCCTGCTTAGCAGACACAAGGCCCTGGATGAAAATGCCAGCACCGCCCTCCCCAATGAAACAAACAGGTGAATCAACCAATAGCAAGGCACTCCAGAAATCTGCATATTCTGAGACTTGCCTAGGCTGTGGTCACAGAGCCTGGTTCACCTGCGGCCTCCAAATCACAAAACCCGTTTCTTGTGTGCAAGGCATTTGCATCTGAGGCGAAGATTTATAGGAAATGGCCACCAGATGGTGTCTTGGTTCTCCTCAAGCTATATTCTGTTCGCTTTGCTCTCTTGCTGAGAGCAGACATTATCACATTTCTTTGGGAAGAACAGTCAATTCCAGGGGAGATGGTGGGACCCGAGGAGCTAGCTACAAGTTATTTTATTGGAGCCACAAGTTATCATTTTATTTAATCAGCGAGACAAGACTCCAGGCTCATAATCACGGGAAAGCCACAGCTGCTGGCCTGGGGTTAGTGGAGGAGCAGATTTCTTCACACAGTGGGCTGCAGCCATTAAAGCCCTATGACTCCCGACATGCAGACCTGACTCAGGGCTAATTGCTCCCCACTGGCATGTCAACGCTGGATTCAGAGCTGACTTCCAGCTGTCTGGCGTCTGGGCAAAGCCACTGAAGAGGGACGAGAAGTCCTCAATCTTACATAAACCTCAATGGCTTTTAAAACACGGTTTTATTTTCCTTCTCCGGTTTTCTCTTAAGACAGGGTCTCACCATATATCCCATGCTACATTTGAATTCCCAGCAGTCCCTCTGCCTCAGCCTCCCAAGTATCGGGGTTTTAGGCAGGTGCCACAATGCCCAGATAAGTCATTGCAGTGTTTTAAAGTGCTTTTCAACAGCCGTTAGGACTTGTTTCTCTTTCAGTATAAAACAGGAATTTCAGTTGGAAAACTGTTACAAAGGAGCTTGGTGACTGGGACAATGCACTTCTTACTGCTTTTCTCAAAGACAGAAGTTAGCCTAGATTACAGGTCCAATTTCTTACTCTACCTGTGGGAGAGGGAAGAGTTGGGGACACTGTTACTGAAGGGGCGGAGTGGTCTTACTGAAGGAGGGATGGGTGTTACTGAAGGGGGGGATGGGTGTTACTGAAGGAGGGGGATGGGTGTTACTGAAGGGGGGAACCGTGTTGCTGAAGGAGAGTGAGCAGATGCTCCCAGATGACTTTGTGTCTACAGTGCGGTGGGCAGCAGTGACCTTGCAGTTTGAGATCCTGTACTCTGGTAAAACAGTTCCGTTTGCCTCCTTGGACTTGACTCCCCCACTCGGACGTCGACGATGTGTGGATGTTACTCCAGCTCTCTTACATGCTCTCACATGCCCTTAGATGTTAAGATGGGAGAATCTTGTCTCCACTGTTTCCCTTCATTTCCCAAGTCTCCACGCATCAAAGTCCCATTTCCACTCTCCAGGGTTTGTCTCAGAGCGTGGAGATGTGGCAGGCATCGTTAGTATGACCAGCGTGTCTCTTTTTTTTGGGAGGGGTGGGGGTTGGAGACAGGGTTTCTCTGTGTAGCTTTGGAGCCTGTCCCGGAACTAGCTCTTGTAGACCAGGCTGGTCTCGAACTCACAGAGATCCGCCTGCCTCTGCCGCCCGAGTGCTGAGATTAGCTAGCCTTAGGTAAGAGTCATTCACTAAGCACAACTCTGTGGCTTCTCAGGGCCCCGGGACCTCCTGTCGTGCCTGCTGTGAGCCCATCCGACTGGTACTCCTTGAAAAGCCTATGTAAGGCTCAAAGCCTGAGTCTGTAGAAAGGCAGCTGTCACAATCTCACGTCTATCTGGGCAAGCCACGCCCAGTTTATTTTCAGTAATGGGCACGAGGCTGTCTGCCCAAGGCTTCCCCCAGAGTCTTAGAAAGGGGGTTTGAGTGGGTGACAACTGTCTTTGGCATTGATTAAAAAAAAATCCATGCTGGTGTGGCAAGTATCTACTTCTTATAACTCTTTTGGGTGCCCGTTCTGTCTCTTTGCAAGGAAAGAGCTGACTGAAGCCACTGAGAGGACCCAGGGTCTCCTGTCGGTTGAGCAGCGGCTATGGTAATCCCGTACCCTTAGGAGTCAAACCTACCGGCTAAGCTCTTGGCTTTGCCACGTGGAGGCTGTGTGAGTTTGCACCATTTACCACTGGGAACACATTTCCATTTCATTCCCACGCCAGTCAGGCAGGGCTGAGGGGAAATTGGGCTTCCCCCTGGAACGCCTGCAAACTGATGGTACAACTGGATGGGCGCCATCTGCTGGTAGGCGGAGGCAAACCGACTCCTTAGGAGACCAGCTCAGCTTTAAGGGCAACAAGGACTTTTCAAGGATTTCATCTTACCCTCTGATTTTCTTTGAAAGAAATTCAGAGTTAAGGGGGATGACAGATTTGACTGAGTTCTTACAGCAGTAGATTCTGGAGGTTAAGAGCAAGTATCCTGGCGTCTTCTAGTCTAAATCCCGTCTTGGCAGGCAAGAATGAGTGTAACCTTGGGCAAATTTCAAAACTTCTCACTAATCAAGTTTTCTTATCTATCAAATGAGGAGCATAATGCTCACCACCTCAGGGTTTTTAAAGATTAGATGAGGCCATGCATGTGTAAGTGCGTAGCACCGTGTCTGACCCCCGTAAGAGGCATACTGCCAGAACATTCCTTATCCGGCAGCTGTTGATTTGTATTGACAATTTTTCTTAGGGATGGCAGGATTCAAATCAGTTGTTTAGGTTTCAAAATAAGAGAGTGAAGCACTCCAGACAGCACGGAAGAAGATAACAGCCGGGAGATAGGTGTTTGGTGTTAATGAAAGGACTTTTGGGAGCCATAGTGGGTCAAATTCATTGCCATGGACTAAATGGGCTGAGTGAAAGAGGAAGGGGACCTGAGCATGGGGCTCCTGTCCCAGAGCAAAGATACTTGTGGGGGGCAGAGAAAGTCTCACCTGCATCATCTACACGTCTCCCAAGAGACCCACTGGAACCCCCACAGTCTAGACTCTTCTGCGGCTTCCTCTGGCTTTGTAACAATGACATTTACAAAGACCACTTTCTCAGAGCTATAAAGACTATAGCCCTCAAGGGTATTTCCGGTCCTTTGTGATCTGGCCAGGAGCTCTGTTGGCCTGAAGTCTGGAAGCAAACTCTCTGTTCCACCAGCTCCTCTTCTCCTGTTCACTAGCAGACATTCTGAGTGTCTGGTCCAGGTCAAGGAATAAGAGCCTAAGTGGAGCATCCGATGATGCCAGATTCACGGGGCACAGAGCAGGGCAAAAGGGGGGAGTGTGGACAACCGTGCAGATCTGATGGTTCTGTGTGGGTGTGCAGAGGACGCTGGCGGACAAATACCATCTGTACTGAGGTTGACGACGTTCTCTATGGCCTCATGTGATGCTTGTATTGTGCTGGTACTGTTTTCTTTGTTTTGGGTTTGGAGGATGGGGTCTCATGTAGCCCAAGCTGGTCTCAACTTTTCTAGATAGCTGAGGTTAGCCTTGAACTCCTGATCTCTTTGCCTCTGCCTTCAAAATCCCGGAGGCTATAGACATGCACCATCATACCCAACTTGGCACTAGTTTTCTCTCTCTCTCTCTCTCTCTCTCTCTCTCTCTCTCTCTCTCTCTCTCTCTGTCTCTGTCTCTCTCTCATGCACACACACACGTGTGCCTTTGAGAACCCCCCTAACCCCCCCCCAGCACCTTGTTCTTCAGCAGACCTCCTCTATGCTGCCTCTGTAGAGGAAGGAGAGAAGAGAATGAAGGAGAAGCAGGGTCTGCAGAGAGAGCAGGAAGACAGCTCCACGCCCTACAGCAGCAGCAGCGGTAGTTTTCCTCACTCTCCTTTTCCCTAGGCCGTGGATGTGCTCATTTAATCCAGCAGTGTTTGCTGAGCATACCATCTGTGCCAGGCACTAGGCCAAAGGCTGGCAAACAGCGCACAGGCTTGCCCACGAAGCCCCACGGTCGCGCCACCGCCATCCTGGTCCTCTCTACACCACGCAGCTCATACCCCACAGCGACACCAGCTTCCTGGCAGAGGCCTGTCCTGGCCACAGAGAGTCCCACTCAGGGGTCTGAAAAGAGAGGCACGGTCCCGCATGTACTGATTCAAAAACACAGAAGACAAGGAAGCATCAGGTGAGGTAGAGGGAGATGGAGTCGGCCGAAGGGCATCTTGGGAAAAGCTTGAAATGGGGGGCCCCAGGGCCTGACTCTGGGGGGCCCATGTAGGAGGCTGGGAGAAGATTTCTTACTTTCATTTGTGCGCATATGAGAGCTTTGCCTGCGTATTCGTGCAGCATGTGCAGGCCTGGCACCTGTGTCACTGGAGACAGGTGATCGTGGGTCACTGTGCAGGCACCTGTGGCACTGGAGACAGGTGATCGTGGGCCACTGTGCAGGCACCTGTGTCACTGGAGACAGGTGGTCGTGGGCCACTGTGCAGGCACCTGTGTCACTGGAGACAGGTGGTCGTGGGCCACTGTGCAGGTGCTGAGAGTTGAACCTGGGTCCTCTAGGAAAGCAGCAAGCACACTCAGCCACTGAGCCAGCTCCCGTCTCCAGCAACTGTAGCTTTCAGCACAGTCACAGCTTAGATTAGTCACAGTGGCAGTAAGATACCCGCCTGGTGGCTAAGAAGAGGGGCAGAGGCTTCTTGCAGTAAGCTGCAAGATCTGTGACAAAGGCCTGACTTGGTGTCCAGTCACAGATGAGATACGAGGGATGCCACCGTCTCTCAAGTGAGGCCTAGGGAAGGTGGCATCCGGGAATGCTACTTTCAGCATCTGCCCGGGTCACTAGGTTTTTCAGTTTGCACTGTGCTAATTCAATGTAGGTGGGGCAAGAGCTTCCTGTCAGTGGGCATTTGCTCCAGAGTGTTGGGCTTCTCCTCTCTGTGCACAGATTCATAACGGGTATTGGAGAGTGACAGTGGCCTTGGGGGTTTTGTTCTCAGCAACACCGAATGCCATGAGAGTGTTTTGGAACACACTGTAGCAGCAGCACCCTGGAAAGATGTGCTTCCAGGGTCTAAGGTGGGATCTGCAAGTGTTTTAATAGGATAGCCCATATACGCCTAGATGCCTTTTCTATTGATTTGTTTTACTGGCGGTTGAATTCATGGCCAAATGCATGCTGGGATAGTGTTTCTTTAAAAAATAATAATAAAGCAAATGTAAGGATTTTATTTTGAGGCAGGATCTTTCAGAGTTCCCCAGGCTGGCCTTGAACTTACAATCCTCTGGCTTCAGGTTCCCAGTTGCTACTATTTGGGGCATGCCCCCCCCCCCCCGGGCACCTGGCTCCTGATGCTTCTTGGTGTGAGCCTCACTCAGGCGAAGGGGGCTCCGGGTCCACCGTTTCTCCATGTTCCACCTTTGAGGAGATGGACTGTGTTGTCACGTTCTTCCTGGGAGCCGACGTGGAGCAGGCCCCAGTGAAACACGCTCCGCAAACCCACTCAGCAAGCTCACCTGTTTCCTGCCTGTCTAGTTGTTCAGCTCTGCTTGAGATGTCGCCTCCTCCATTGACGGGAGGACCCTTTCCCCACCAGGTTTGTGGCTGTTGTCATTTCCTCCTGGAAATTCGCCCGGAATGATAAGTCCCAGTTCGGGTACCTACAGGTCGGGCTCTGGAGCACACCCCCGCCCCCAGGCAAACAGAGAAGCTAAGTAAAGACCAGCTCAGGCCTCTCCCCCTGCAAAGCCCGCCTTGCTGTTGCCAATGGTAAGATTAAAGCACATAGCTGAGAATTCTGAGTGTCTAGGTTTTTAAAACCAGACAGCAAAATAGCTTAAATATAATGCAAATTTCCTTGCAGGAAGTAGAAAACACGAAAAAAGCTCTGGAGAAGAAACTGAACATCAAAACAGCCTGTCTTAGACTCCCAACTGTGCAAGCGGAGTGCTATTGTAGAGAGATTTAACTGTGGTTCCCGGACCACAGTTAAATTCAAGGCTGGTGCTTTTGAGGTGAGTGTTGCTGGGTTTTTAAAGAATGCCTCTGGAGTTTGTAGAACTTGACAGGAAAGGAGCTGTGGTGAAGAAGCAGGGGCTCTCTGTATGACACACACCAGTGAAGATTTGCAAGTCAAACCTCATTTGCATCTAATTCTCAGAACAGAAGTCACAACAGATTACTTCAAGGTGAAAAATTCTAAAGACGCTGGGAATTTCTTCCATTAGACCAGGACAAAACAAAGCAAGGAAATAATGCGGGACTTAAAACTTTGCCGTGTGAATGTGTGGGGGTTGGCACATCTAACAGCAATTCTAGAAAAGGACCATCATGCTTTGCCCTAGTGAGCCGCTTTGGGGCTGGGCTAGTTTGATCCAAGATGCTAATGGCATGTTAGATGGGTTCATTTCAGACCTGGTCCTTAGCTCCTAGCTAACTCCCCATCCGGCTGGGGAGATGAGACACTGTGACACCGGAACTGGTACATGCCTTTAGTACTAGCCTTCGGGAGGCTGAGGAAAGAGGATCAAATAGGAGGCCAGCCTGGGCTACATTGCACAGTTCCGTCCCCAAAAGGAAGAGGAAAAAAAAAAAAAAAGACAGTGATACGAGTAAATATATAACCGTGAATGGATAATGTGGCTTTCACATCATTGCCCCAAGACAGTTGTGCGTGCTCCACCCACCACATCTGGATGTTAGCTAGCAGGAGAGGAGAGGGTGTGCAAACAGCAAACCCCATGCTTTAAAGTCACATTTCCAATGCATCCCAGAGCTGGAAACTTGGTTGCCTGGTCTCATCTAGTTACAAGAAATGTTAGGAAATGTGGTCTTTATTCTGGTCAGTGTGGCTTAAAGACACCACCATAAACACACGAATCTCTATGAATACATAAATAAGCCCCAACCGTGGCCATAAGTGGAATGAATGATGGCATTGGCCTCCCTTGGGATTCTTAACATTTGCATTAGAAACAGCTGGTTTGAGATCTCAGGGTCTGTATTCTAGGTACAGAAAATTGTTCCGGTGGGGATTCTTTTCACCAACACACAGGCCAGAGGAGACAGTGGTTGAAGAGAACAATACAGCCCTGGTTCCTCCCAGTGGAGGTGGGAAGGCATCTTATTGCTGGGTCCCTAGGTCCCTGTGGGCCCTGGCCTTTTCCTCCTGTTGACTGAGAGACATGGACCCATTCCCAGCTGTCCTCTCCTCCACACACGCACACCCACCGTCCCTTCCAGTTTCCCTCTCCCCAAATCACGGTTGAGCTGCACAGTCCGAGCTACGTTGTTTTGATGTCATAAAGTTTTTGTTTTCATGGTTGTTGTTTGAGACAGCGTCTCAGGTTAACCTGGAATTCACTAGATAACCAAAGCTGGCCTTGAACTCACGATCTTCCTGTCTTGGCCAGAACGCTGAGGTTGTAGGAATATCCGTGGCAGCACACTGGGCTCTGAGCTGGGCAGTCTGAGGCTCAGGCTGTGAAGGTTATTTATTGTTATTGTCTGTATGCACGGTTGGGAGGCAAGCACGAAGTTGGAGGCCAGGGGACAACTCTGAGTCCTTTTCTCCTTTATGTGGCTTCCAGGGTCCAACCCAGGTCCCCAGGACGGCTCTGCAAACACCTTTACCTGCTAAATCATCCCACTGGCCTCTACTCAAAGACAAACAAAACATTAGAAAGCTTTTTCTGTCTTCGAGACAGGGTTCCTATGTTCAAGTGACTTTCCGGCCTCGGGCTCACCAGTGCCGGGGCCATCAGCTTGCCACCACACCTGGTGTCTCCATTGGGGTTTCGATCGCTGTGATGAAAGGGTTTATTTCATCTCACATCACACCCTGCCAAGGGAAGCCAAAGCAGGAGCTCACACGGGGCAGGAACTGGAGGCAGGACCTGATGCAGAGGCCATGGAGGGAGCTGCTTACTAGCTTGTTCAGCCTGCTTTCTTATAAAACCTAGGACCACCAGCCCAGGGATGACTCTACCACAATGCACTTGGCCTTCCCACATAAAGCACTACAGGCTCGCCTACAGCCTGATAGTATGGAGGCATTTCTCAGTTGAGGCTCCTCCTCTCAGATGACACTAGTTGTGTCAAACTGACTTATAACTAGCCAGGACACCTGGCTCAACTTTTTTCTTGTCACTGCTATAAGCCTATACTTGAGACCCTTGTGATTTTTATTAAAGATCACAGCAAAAAATAGAGAGAAAGAAAACAGATAAGGGTCACACACACACACACACACACACTGATGAAAAGGTATGAGGCTCCAAACACCTCAGGAGGAGAGCAGCCATGCTCACACTTCACAGACAGTAGCCGGCAGTCCTCCAGCTCAGCTCCTCCTGCAAGGTTCCCTGGGCCTCTAGAGTGATTAGCAGGACCTGTCCTTACCAAGGTGGGGGTGGTGGCTCTGGGACCATCTGAATGCCAGCCTGTCCTAATCACAAGGACCAGGGTTCGCAGGGGATCTCAGCTGAATAATCAGGTGGCTTCTTTGGACCTCGGTGGGCAGGCACTCCTACAAAGGCTAGAATTTAGAGAGGGAAGAAGGGGTCCAGATCAGAAGGACACTACAGCAGCCGGCCCGAGATCACCTGCCCAAACGGACAGTCCTTCCTGCCCCTACGCCAGAGCAGTGCTAGGTCAGAGCAGGGTACTCTGGGTCCACAGGGCATCTTTGGGAAGATCTTTGTCAGCTTGGTAAGCTGACCCCAGGTCACTTCAGGGCCCCTGTGCCTGTGACCAGGGGGGGACCTTGCACATGGCTTTTCTGCTCTCTCTGTGTGGTGGCCCCAGGCTGCTAGGACAGCCAGGCTTATGTCCCCTGAGGCAGTCTGTCACTCAGTGAGGAGCAGGCTGGAGAAGGTCAGATTTTTCAAATTCTCAAGAAAGCCAAAGATCCGGGATGGCAATGTAACTCTCTGAGTTACACATACTGGCAACTGTTTCAAATGTGGAAAGCCCAGCATGGACCTTCAGAGGCTAAAGGCGAAGGAGCCAGGGCATGCCCATCCTCAGGGCTGAAAGAAAAGAGGCTGAAGCTGGGGGGGGGGGGGCGCTGTGGCAAAAGAAAGAAGGCAGACAAGGAGAGAGTGAGCTCATATCCCTGCCCTGCTTTCCCTGGGTGTCCTGTGAGCAGGCAGGCTGGGAAGGACAGGACGGAACAGGGAAGAGCCGAGTGAGGCCAGTGGGGGCATGGTCCTCGCCCAGCTTCTCCAGCGGTCGGGACTTCTGGTCTGGAAGTGTGTCCCACTGACTGGCACTGGCAGTGGGTACAACTCCCCAGGCTTGTGCCTGGCATTCCAAGTCTGGTAAGCTTAGCAGGCACTCCATTTGCTCAGTCTTGCTGTATGACCCTCATCTTACGGATGAGTGAACTGAGCATGGAGAGAGATTGAATCACTTGCCCAAGGTCACACGGCCATGGGAGAGCATGGCTCCAGATGCTATCTGTGCTCTTTAGAGCTAACCCGAGGAAAATGGGGCTCTCAGGTTTGGAGGTTAACTGTGGGGACCCTGCAGAAAAAGGAACCAGAAGGTTGGAGAGAGATGTAACATGTCCTGGTCTTTTAAACAAAAAGCTTATACTAAATTATGCTAGCGCAAGTGGGACTGTGGTGGCGCACGCCTTTAAACCCAGCACTTAGGAGGCAGAGGCAGCAGGATCTCTGTGAGTTCAAGACCAGCCTGGTCTACAGAGTGACCAGGGACAGACAGGGATACCCAGAGAAACCTTGTCTCATACAAACCAAATATGGATACATGTGTGTGCATGCTTGTGTGTGTGTGTGTGAATACATAACTAGAAACTATAATACAGTGATTCACCTACATACTCTCCACCTGATTTACCAAGAAGAGGCCCCCCTGCTCCCCACCAGGTATGCCCTGCTTGGCTCTTCCTTTCTCCTCACCTGTGTGCATATATATTTTTGCTGTTACATCCATGGTATCTATAAGTACCATGTCATACAGATGGGTGAGTTCTAAAACGTTATGTAAACAGCACTATCCCTATGCGACCCTCAGAAACATCTGAGAGATCAATCTATGTTGATGCACATAGCTCATGTTCATTACTCTTGTTTTGTTTTTGTTGTTGCGGAGGTTTTGGGTTTTGGGTTTGACAGAAGTGTGCTCAAAGTCCAGAGCACACATGCTCCATTCATTCCAGCCTCGGCTCCCAGCGAGCTGGCCGTGTGAACCACTGTACTCAACTTCTGCCTGCCGTTCATCGTTTTGTTTGTTTAGTGCAAGGGATGGAGCCCGGGGCCCTGTGCAAGCATGCTTGGCCAGCCTTCTACCACTGAGCTTCGTGTCCAGCCCTGTTATTGAGGCATACTATCTACTCAAGAAGGCCCACAGGTCTGCAAGTTCAGCTCGAGGGCTCTGCGGTGCTCAACCAGCACAAACATCTCACAGCCCGAGGCAAGTAACTGGGGGTGAAGATGGGGCTCTCTTGGAGTGCTTTCCTGGACTCGCCAAGGCCTGGGGTCAGTTCCCCCAGCCTTGTACAAACTGGGTGTCACCGTGCATGCTGGTAGTCCCAGAACTCAGAAGAATAAACAGGAGGATAGGAAGTTCCATGCCACCCTGGGGGACTATAAGGTAGATTCCCTGATAGGCAGACAGATAGGGAACAGAGCCTTGACTAGGTAATAGAGGCGGTGAATTTCCAGAATGACCTGCTTCTTCCTTACCTTCATGACCTGAGACAAAAACCTGACAGCTTGAAGAAAGGACTGGTGGACTCTCTTCCCCAGTCCCCTGCCTGTGACTAGAACGTGTCTACAAAAGTTGTGGACACACCAGCCTCCCTGTCAACAAACCCTACCCTGGGGGGAGGAAGACCTTCAAAGACCCTTAAAGCCCAGCCCCTCGAGGAGAGAGCAGGCGTGGCTTCCTGTCCCCACCCTGCTCCAGAGGATCTTTCTCTGTGCATGCCTTGCTGTGTTTCTTCACCTCTTATTCAAGTTTTCCTCCAAACTTTCCACCCCCTCGCCCCCCACTCCCTGCCCCCACCCCCACCCCTCCATTACCTGGTTCCTGGAGATTTTTCCCTGCCTTTTAATTCTTGAACTGGTAGAGAAAATGAACCTCATTAAGATCAGTAACGGATAGTAATCCTTGGCTACATAGCAAGTTGGAGGCTAACCTGGGCTACCCAACACCCTGTCTGAAAACCAAGACCAAAATAATAATAATAATAATAATAATAATAATAAATAATAATAAAGTAAATCTAAACCTAATGCTACTCTAAAACAACTTTGCAGCTCTAATGAAATGAAATGGATATTCACCAACAGACGAATGCCGGGAGTCAACGCCTCCCTCGTAGCCTATCCCATGAGCATTCATTTTCACTGCAAAGCAGCATCCACTGTAGGAGCACATTGCAACTTTTAATCACTCTACTTGCTGGTGAGCTTGGAGTAGTTTGCACGGTCTTCACAGTGCTGCAGGACTGCACGCCGAGGCTCGCTGAGGATGGGAGCACCATCTCTGGCCTAACACAGCCTTACCCTGTGGCTCACTAGAGCCCTGTTCTGCCTGCAAAGCAGGATGGGAAAGTTGCTCTCCTCCACAGCCTCATGGGGCTCTGAAAGGGAAGGTTTGCCTGCCTCCTAACCTGAATAGTCTCAGGCTGGGAATTAAATTTGTTTGTCACTGATTACAAAAGAGATGAGTATCTCTTTATGGGCTTTCGGGGTTCCTCTTTTCTGAATCTATTACTCATGTCTTTGTTTTGTTTTCTATTGGGTTGTCCCCTTGCTTACTGATTTTAAGGACTTCTATATATATCCTAGATGCATTTCCTATGTCAGTCTTTTTTGCTTCAATTTTCAAAAGAGGAAGGAAGGAAGGTCCCTGTTATGAACTAGAGGCTACTGAGTGTGATGTAAACTTCTAGTGAGATTCTAGAACAGGCCAGAAAGTGGATGCTCTGTGACAACTGAGCACAAAGTCGTGATCACTGGGAGGGATCTAGATTACCAAAAACAAGTCATGCCAGACTCTCCAGCTTGTCTTGGAAAGGCTTCAGTTGCCTGACACAACCATTTGGGTGACACGCATGAATTACGAGCCGCACATACATCATCCATGCAGCCTGGGAGACTGACACGGTCACCACCCTCACTGTGTGGAGACAGCAGTGGCCCTGGCTGGCTCAGCAGTGACTGTGGAGGGGCCCTGGGCTGCATGGAGGGGGAGCTGAGGTGTTGTAGTGGGAATTCGGTGAGACCATAAACTTGGCCTTGCCATAGAGGAAATGTTGGATTGTAGACATTAGATAAATCAGTTACGACTACTACTGTGTCCTATGAATCTCACTGGAGACTTACTCTAAGGGCTGGGTACTGACCCATTCATTCAACAGGCTCATTGATTCCTTTAAAAGGGACAGAGGTGACAAGCAAATCATATGTGTAAGTAGCTTGAAAGGGAATTCGGAGAATGACATTTGTAACCTAGATTTAACCTAAAGCAAATTTCTGGAACTATATCAAAAGGGTCCAATTTATTGCCTCATCTCCCCTTTCCCATCACCAGCCCCCCCTCCCAACCCCGCTAGGGAGGAATGAGGGACAAGCCCTAAGAGTCTCAGAAAAGGCTGGGCACCCCACGGGGGGGGGGGGGGGGAGGGGGACGGGGGCACAGGGGAGACAGAGGCTGACCAGCAGGAGCTGGGGAGCTGGAGGGAAGAGGAGCCCCCGGAAAGGGAGTCAAGTTGGTCACTGCACACGAAAGATGCCCCATGTTTACCGGACAGACTTGTCCAGTGCCCCTTTGTATGGGACAGAGTAGAGAGATCCGAAAACTCAGGCTGGGCTGACGAACACCTCCACAATTGTATCCCAGTTTCCTTCCACTGCATGTCAGAAGGACACTCAAGGATGGTGTCACAGAAGCCACACAGGAGACAAGCTGTCCAGAGCCTGGCAAGGATGAGCCCCTAAAGGTGAGGCCAGGGGAAGAATTTCCCACTTACTCTGAGCCAAAGAAAGCCATGGAAGTTTCCTAACACAGGGAGGGAGAAAGAAGGGTTGGAAAAGTGTGTTAGAGCCAGTGTTCCTTCTTGTCGCCTTCAAGTCACAAAAGTGACGACTATTTGTCGTCGTTTTTGGAAAACGGCGGAGAAGGAAGAAAATGAAGACTTTCCATGTGTGTCCACACCGTGTGGTGGGTGTTTTTGATCTGCTGTTGCCCGGATGCTTGGGTGATCCTTTAACTCACACTGAAACCCAACAGCAAGGTGGCCCTGAGGAAGTACCCTTTGGGAGTTTCCTGGGTTGGTACCCTCACAAGGGGTAGGTGCCTTATAAAAGACATGGAGTGTTTCTCTTCTGCCACAGCAGGACCCAGGAGGACAATGGCTGACCAAACCAGGAAGTAGCTCTCACCAGGTACTGGGTATGTGGACCTTGGATTTCTTCAGTTCTTAGAGCTGAGAAATAAATTCCAGTTGTTCCAAATCCTCTCAGCCCATGGTGCCTTATTATAGTAGCTGGAGTGAGCCAGACACTGCCTCTTGTGGAGATTCACCCACATTCTTCAGCCTTATAAGGTGTCATGGCTGCTCAGCCTTCCATCACAAGCTGTTCTATAATTTATATGGCAGACCCATGTTGTTCAACGCACATGAATATAAATCCTGAGATTATTCTGGATGTTATTCTAGACAAACAAGCGCCAGTACTTCAGCTCTGCCCTGAGGTACTCTGTCAGGAGCTGTAAAGCAGCTGCATGCTGGAGCGGTCCCCAGGCGCCGGAGCAGGTGTGCCAGGTGACAGGTCTCCGACAGCTTGCTCAGCTGTCAGGAGGAGTGGTCCCCTGAGGGCATCCACAGTGAGGCTGTGTGCTGAGCCCCTGAACCCCTCGGCTCCTTCTGAATTTCCTGAATTTCCTGGCAATTGTCCTCATGCTTCGACTGTACCCCGGGGTGCCACTGCCCCAGCCCCCCAGTCCTCAGAAGATGCCATGCTTTCGGTGTCTTCTCCCCATGTCCCTTCCATGTTTGTGCTGACAGGAACAAACTCACCCCAGGAGGACAGGGCTTGCCTAGGCACACCCTCTCCAGCTGCTGTTTCCAAATTCTATTTTTTCTTGCTTTATTATTTCATCTTCTTATTTTGGGGCCCCAGGGATGGAACCCAAGGTCCGTCTACACGTGAAACACGTGCCTTACCCTTGGCCGTCTCGGCCTTTTTCCTTTTTAACAGCTTATTGAGGCTGTGTGGCCCAGCTCTGGTCTACCAGCCGCAGCCTTCCTCCTTTACCAACAGCTTGCTAAAAACAAACATGCCTGGATCTGGCTGGTCAGGCTGACACATCTCACACCACGTGAAGACACCGGTCCACACCAGCGCTTCTCTGTTCCCGCGTTGGTTTCTTAGAGGCCGCTATAAGGGCTAAAAATCTGTTCTCTCCCTGTTGTATAGACTGGAAGGCCTCAGTTAAGATATACGCAGTCCTGCTGGCAACTCGGGGCAGACTCCTGCCTTGTGTCATCTACCCACCCTGGGCTGTGGCTGAGGAATGCCTCTCTCTTCAGGGGCCTCCCCTCATGGGCCTTGATTTTTTTTTTTTTGTCCTAAGGACTTTAATATACAATGATGCTATAATATTAGCATGTAGGCAGCTGAAGTAGAGAGATGATGACTTCAAGGCCAACCAAGAATACAGTGATACTGCATCTCCTAAGACCGGGTGTGTGTTGCCTGGGGAGAGGGGGGCAGAATTGTAACTGTTTAATTTAGAAACTGTTGGCTAGCTTTCTGTTACTGTGACAAGTTACCTGAGACAATCGCCTTAACGGAGGTGAAGCCTCAGTCCCCGTCTCTCGCCCTACTGCTTTGGGCCTGTGCTTGAAGTGACCAGTCCCCCCCCCACACCCCCAGTTTTAGCAGCCTTGACAGGCTAACATGACCTTGCTGCTCCTGTCCTGGTCACTAGGGGGTCAGATGCCCTCCTCGTGGCAAGGAGCCAATCAGAAGTTAGCTGGCAGGGCTGTGCTTTACGGCTCTGGGTGTGCTTTACAGACAAGTGCACAACAGTGACATGCCAAGCATAGCCACCGTCCTGGGAGGGCCTATGGGCCATAACATCCAGGTGACCAATCAACACAGGACAGGTCATCCAAACCTGGAAGCGCACCAATCCTGAGACTGTTGCATACCCCTAGACACTCCCCTTACGCTGCCCTTTAAGATCCCACCTCAGGGTACCTCCGGGTATCTTTCTCCAGCCCTCTGCTGTGGTGAATAGATGAGGGACCCGAGCTAATGGGGTTAGCTCGTTAACAACTACAATAAAAGACTCTCTGCTTTTGCACCGAAATGGGCCTCTTGGTGATTTTGGGGTTCGGAATTTGGGCTCAACACGCTGAGGCAGCCCGCCATGGACGGAGCGTGTGAGGAGACCTGGTCTCATGTGGCAGCCGGCATATAAAAGACAGAGAAAGGCACCAGGATGCCAACGGCCCCTTCAAGGGAACAACTCAAACGACCTAACCCCCTTCCGCCAGACCCTAAGATTTGAGCACCTTCTGATGGTGCCGCGAGCTGGAGAACTGTAGCACACAGGTCTCTAAGCAACACTCAGGATCCGAACTGTAGCAAAGGCCCACCTGGACAGTCCCGGCTGATGATGGCATTTCCAGATCTCCCCCTTAATCCTATCTGCAAAGATTCCTTCTCCAGCAAAGATCGCAGTCACAGCTGCAAGGTCTAGACATGAGCTGCGAGGGTTACCCTGCTTTCTTCCTCAGCCACTGCAGTTCCTCGCCATCCTGGACCCTGTCCCCGGTCTTAGTCGGGGTTTACACTGCTGTGAAGAGACACCGTGGCCATGGCAACTCTTATAAAGGGAAGCACTTAGTTGAGGTGGTAGCGTGCAGTTTCGGAGGCTCAGCCCATTATCATCATGGCAGGAGCATGGCGGTGTGCAGGCAGACACCGTGCTGGCCACATCGTGATCAGAAGGCAACAGGAAGTGGACTAACTGCCTCACCAGGCCTAGCTTGACCTATGTGAACTCAAAGTCGGCCCCCACAGTGACGCACTTCCTCCAACAAGGCCGCACCTCCTAACAGTGCCACGCCCTCCGGGGGCCATTTTCTTTCAGACCACCACGCCAGTTCTCCAGCGCTCTCTCTGGTGAATCCATCTCCTCCTCCCTTGTCAGTGTATTCTCTACCCGTTCTGACTTCCAGACTCACTTCTGCGGCTGCTGCCCCTGCCTGGTAGGTTCCCTCACTCCCTGGCTTCCTGAAGTCATTACCACTGAAGGTCAACCAATCACATATACATACTAAGACCCTGTCAGAAACCATAAGCAGCAACGGCAAAACCATTGTGTTGGGGGACCCAGGAAATGACTTCATTGCTAAATTACTTGCCCTGTAAGCATGAAGAGCAGTGTTCAGCCCTCATAACATACTTTATTTTTTAAAGGGCAGAGATGTGTGACTGCGATCGCCGTAGTCTGGATATAGGCAGGTAGATCCTTTCAACTCGCTGGCTAACCAGACTAGTGAGAAACCCTGTCTCAGAAAACTGGCCTGTACATGGACAAATTCACGTATGTACTCCCATACACACAAACATGCACACAACCATTCACAGTTAAGAGTCTAATTTTTTTTAATGCAAAAGGCACATTTCTAATTTTGCCATAATTTAAGACTCTGATTTAAAAGCTTTCTAACTGTTTCTGGCCACTGACAAAATGCTTGAGGTAATTAACTGTAAAAAGTGCAGAGACTGATCTGGACTCAGCCTTGGAGTTTTCGGTACCTGGTCTCTTGGCCCATTGCTTACTGAGCCTGCGGTGGATCGGTGATGTTGGGGAAAGTGCCTCCAGCTGCCCCTGAGGTAACTGACCACAGCGAGTCATGTGGTTGGGTGAGTGACTTCACTTCCTGTTCACAGGTCTCCAATGGATGTGACCTAGGCACTCAGGTATTTCCTGTCAGAGCTTTCGTACTCTCCTTCCCCACCCCCCACAAAGATGACTGCGGTCCTGCCTCACACACAGTTGAGAAAATGCGTGCCATCAAGGTGCAACTCAGTTCCTTCCCACCCGGGCTCCCACTGACACATTCACATCTCTGCCTGTCTTGTCCCAATACAAGCATTCTGCTCCTTTAAAATCCATCCCCCAAAATGATAGGCCAGGTGAGTGGCAACCACGCCAGGGCCATTGGGGCCCCTGATGCTCTGGATTCATGCCCACAGCGATGCCTGCTGTTACTAACATGTCGATATGTGGGCTCTTCCATGTAAACGAAGTCTGCCTATGCCCGCCCCAGCCCCTGCCCCTCCTCCCAAGCTCTACAATGTTTAGAGCAAAGTTCTCCAGGCTAGTCTAGAGCGCGCTACCGTTGCCTCTCTCCTGGGCCTGCTTCCCACTCCTTTCATCTGTCTGGCTTCTGGCTTCACCATCCACCTAAAGCTCCTCTGCCGTGGCTGTCCATGACCTCCATGTTGTCAAACCTGATTTCACTCGAGGTCTCCACCTGTGAGGTGAAATGTATCTCCCCACTCTCTTTCCTCCAATCTTTCTCCTCACTGGTCTATGATTCAACAAATGTCATGATTTCCCTCCTATCCCAGCAAACACTTGCAACCAGCCATTGTCACAGGAGTCACCCTCCCCATAGTCTCCAACCAACCCACATTCTTCCCTAGTCATTTATTTTTCTTGGAGTTTATGTCCCTGGCTTTAAAGGCCGTCCACTCCTTTAGTTGACTCTGACCTCGCTTCTTTCAAACCATCCAATTATGGGTTTGGTACCTTCAATGGATGTTTCAGAAGCAATTCAAACTTAACATTTGCTTAATGTTACCCTTGATCCCCACCCCTCAACCCAGAAAAACTCAGGCTTCAGGACAGTCACCTGTCTGCGTTTCAATGTCTTCATCCCACGGGAGTGTTGCTGGAGATGAACTCCTCGACCAGAAAGTGCCGAGTCGGAGGTTTTGCTGCTTCTAAGAGTGCCGGCGCCCTATGTGCATCTGTAGAGGCTGGGTTCCAGGAGCCACTCTGAGACCCAAACCCTCAGGCGTTCAGTCCCACATATAAAGTATATGCTTGTCTAAAACCTCTGCACCTCCCTCATGTACTTTAACACCTCTGAGTCACTTGCAATGCTCAGCATAACGATAAACAAATAGTGACTCTGCCGTGCTGCCTGGGGAGCGGCGATAGGAAAAGCGTGTGTGCATGTTTAGTACAGACAGGATTTGGATTTTCAAACGCTTTAAACCCACATTTGGTAGAGCCTAGAGATGCCGATGCTGGAGTACGAACAGCCGAAGTCTATCGGTGTCTCCGCACCAATCCAAAGGAGTCTTCGACGTTCCTGACTTTATCTGCTTCAGAGCTACAGCAGGTTACTTCTAAGTGCGGCTTTCCCTGAGGCGGTGGGGCCCTCACACAAGTTGGCAGCGGCATCCTGGTGACTCAGGCACAAGCCCTGAATGAAATAGATACTAGAGAGCTGGCCCTGGAGGGACAGAAAACTGGAGCCAAAGGGCTCACTGGGGTCAGACCTCAGCCCAAGCCCTGCCCAGCACCCACCACTGAGGACCCCACCTGTGCCAGACTCTTAACAGGGCCACTGCCTGCCCTTCAGACTCCTTGCCCCTGGCTCTATGTCACTAAGTCAAGCTTAAACTGTTAGTCACCTTTCTGCTGCTATGACAAAAGTATCTGAGATAGGCAACTGCAGAGGAAGAAAGATCATGTGTTTATTTTCAAGTCAGAACAGGTTTTTTTTTTAGTTATAAAAAGTGATAGGCTTGTTATGCTATCTTCATACATACCTGCCACCATGTTTGTTCTTACTCCCCCTCCCTGTCCCCACCCCTGCCTCTCCTGCTTGCAGGACCCCTTCCCTCCCTCCTCTCCACTCTCATGCCACATACATTCAAGTACACTTTCTTTTTGCTAAGATTTCTTATGTGCGTATGTGTGTATACACAGGTGAGAGCACTGCACTCAGAGTCCAGAAGAGGGCAGCATCAGACACCCTGCAGCCGGACTTGTAGGCATTATGAGCCACCCAGGGTACTGCAAACCAAACTCGAGTTCTCTGCAAGAGTAATGTCCATTCTTAATTTCTGAACCATGTCTCCAGTACTCATCACCCTTTCTTATCTCCCCTCATTTGGACTCCTCACTTCTCACAGTCCCCTTTCTGTTTTCATGTTCTATTCTTTTTTTTTTAAGATTTATTTGTTTATTACATATACATGCCAGAAGAGGGCACCAGATCTCATTATGGATGGTTGTGAGCCACCATGTGGTTGCTGGGAATTGAACTCAGGACCTCTGGTAGCACAGTCAGTGCTCTTCACCTCTGAGCCATCTCTCCAGCCCTCATGTTCTATTATAGAAGTACATGTATATACATATTTCCACACGCATGATGAAGTTGAATCAAGATTCTGTATAAAAAAAGAAAATGTAGCGTGTTTTCTTTGAATGTGACTTATTTTATTTAACATAGTGTAACTGTTGTGGCAGGAGAAAAGATCTTTTAATATCTTTCCTTTGTTTTTATTTTCTATGTGTTCTGGCTATTTTTATGTCAGCTACAGTCATTTGAGGGTAGGGAACCTCAATTGAGAAATTTTCTTCATTAGATCAGGCTGTAGGCAAACCTATAGAGCAACTCCTTAATTAGCAATGTGGGAGAGCCCAGCCCCTTGTGGGTGGTGCTACCCCTGGGCTGGTAGTCCTGGGCTTTGTAAGAAAGTAGGATGAACAAGCTGTGAAGAGCAAGCCAGTAAGCAGCACGCCTCCACCGCCTCTGCATCAGCTCCTGCCTTCAGGTTCCTGTGGGAACACCAGACCTTGAGCAGAGACCTACTTCCCCTTCCTTCTGCCTGGGAGTAGGCAGCTGTAAGACAATGTTTAGTAAAAACATGTTTACTAAAAACGATACAATGCCCGGGGCAATAAGTTCCTGGAAAAGGCCTTCCCACAGAGACCGCCCTGACCTCGACCTTGTCCAAAGACTAACCGCACCTTCAAACCCACACACATCCACCTCTGGTGTCAGAGCAGAACCAGCCAGGGGAGAGGAGAGAGCAGAAGCTTCTCTGGTGGGAGCTTTTCTTAGGAGGTTTTCTTGAACCTTTTTGGAGCCTGTTTAAAGTTTTCTTTATATCGTTGAACGAGTCTCTGTGTTGTCAATCCCCGACACCCTCCGCACGTTCTCGGACACAGGCCGAGAAACAGACGTGGCAGGTTCCTGCCCTGACTTTCCTAAATGGTTTAAGCCAAATAAGCTCTTTCCTTCCCAAGTTGTGTTTAGTCATGGTATTTCATCCCAGCCATAGAAAGACTAAGAAAGACAACATGTATGAATGTTTTGCCTGTGTGTGTTTGTGGATCACAAGAACATAGCATCCAAGAAACCAGAAGAGGGCATCAAATCCTCTGGGACTGGAATTACAGTTTTGATTACTGTTGTGAACCAACATGTGGGTGCTGAGAGTCAAACCCAGGTCCTCTGGAAGAGCAGCCAGTGCTCTGGACTGCCAAGCAATATCCCTAACTCCTGCTGAATAAACTTTCATCATGTATGTACCTAACATGTTCACTATCCCTGCATCGGTGGATGAACATCTAGGCTAGTTCCACAACTTGGCTATTGTGAATGGCACAGCAATAAGCATGGATGTTCAAACATCTCCATGGCATGTTGAGTTAGAATCACTTGGGTATAGCTGGATCTTATGACCTTTGTGTTTTCAGTCTTTTGAGAAACCTTAATACTGATTTCCAAAGTGGCCATAGCAGGTTACAGTCTTGTACAAAGTGCAGTATATAAAGCTCCCCTTTCTCTATGTCATCGTCAGAATTTACTATCATTCCTTTTCTTTCTGATTGCTGTTCTGACTGGGATGATATGTAATTTCAAACAGTTTTAATTTGCATTCTCCTGATGACTGAGGATGCTCGACAGTTTTCAAATATTGGTCGTTTGTATTTCCTTTTAAAAACTTATTTGTGTGCATGTCTGTGCATAGTATATGTGTATGTATACGCACATGTGCACAGCTGAGTATATGCGTGCTTGGGCGGAGACCAGAAGAGTGTGTCTTTTATCGCTGGCCCCTTTATTCCCTATGACAATCTCCCACCCAACCCATAGCTTTCCACGTTTTTGCCTAGACTGGGACCAGCAAGCCCCAGTAATCCTCCTGTCTCTGCCTCCTTCCCCCTGCTCTGTGCTGAGGCTACAGGTTCACACACTACAGGTTCACACGCAGACACAGAGCATTTCACAGGGATTCAGAGTGGATCCTCATGCGTGAGCGGCTGGCACCCTCCCTCACTGGCGTGTCCCCAGCCTATCATTGTATTTCCAGGTGTTAGCCCTTTCTGACGTACAGCTGGCAAAGATTTTCCCATTCTATGGACTGTCTCTTCTTTTTAATTTCATGTAATTCCGTTCACCAAACATTTCTTGTGCTGCTGCAGGTCCTTGCCCACAGCTGCATGCAAACACGTTTTCTGTAGCAGGCCCACTGTGGCCACTGGGGACCCAAAGAAAAGGAGGAAGGGACCATGTTCCAATACACGCCTCCTCAAGCTCACGCCCCACAGACTAAACTGCCTCCCACTAGGCCCTACCTCCTCCCAGAGTTCCATATCCTCCCAAAGTGCCAGAGGCTGAGGACCAAGCCATCAACACATGGATTTGGGGGAACATTCTAGATCCACATTAGCAACTGGAGTGGTGCCTGTGCCCTTGCTTTCCAGGAGCTAGAAAAGGGAACGTTGGCCATCTTACCCGTTCCCCTCCCCTCCTGTAACCATTCCGATAGATAGGATGGGATGGACAGGGATGGATTTTGGCACTCAGGAGCCAAGGAATACTGAGTGTTACAGCTCAGATGGAAAGGTATTCTGGCATTGGGAAGCCAAGGAATACCACAGGTCACAGTAAGCATAACAGCGTACAGCTTTGCTTCAGGGAAAGGCTTCCCTAGTGTATCAGTTCTACTGGGGGGGGGTTTGGGGGGAAGTTGGGGGGTTGGGGGGTGTTTCCCAGCTGGGGATGTTTTCCAATGTAGCAGTTTTGTTCCTGCAGGAGAGAGTTTCCCTGGCTGAACTTGCTACAGTTCAGCTCTGCTCCCGGGAGAGAGGAGAGCAGAGTCTAACAACTCCACTCTGCCAGGGGAAGGTTTCCCCTGCAAAAGTGTTTCCACCTTGCTGGCTCTGCTCTACCCAGGGTCATCTCTGCTGTGCTGCAAAAGAAGATCTTCACCCAAACCTCATTCAAGATATTTATTGGGAGGGAAGAATCCAGGAGTAGCAGAGGAGAACCGGGCAGCCTTAATAGCCACAAGCTTAACAGACACAGGGTTTATATAGGGCTTCTTAGGGGGTAGAATTTTCCAGGGTAGGGATTGCTCAGATTGGCTAGATCTCCTGCTCAGGGATTGGTTAGTTTTCTGAACAGGGTTAGAGTCAGATTTGGCTCTGGTTTCAGAGCTAAAGTGTGTTTCTTTCTCTGGTCCTTTTTAGCCTTTCGGCTCTAGTTTTGGAGCCAGGGTGCATTTCTTTCACTGACTCTGATTCCAGGGACAAAGTGTGTTTCTTTGGCACTGGTTTCAGGGTCAGGGTGGATTTCTTTGGTTCAAGATGTGTTTCTTTGGCTGGACCCTTTTCCCTACACCCCCAAACCCTTAATATGTCACCTCTGGGAACCTAAAGGTAACATATATCCCACGATCAAACTGAAAGGGTTCCCAGGTTACGTTGCCTTCTGACAAAGAGTGTGAAGTATATGCCAGCCACATTACAGATTATTTTCCTACAACTGTGCACAGTGTATTAGTCACTTCCCTCACCACTGGGACAAACTACCAGACAAGAGACAGTTTAGGGAACAAAGAGTTTATTCTGGATTAAGATTTGAGGGGATGCAGTGCAGGCAGACATTTCTTCCCTGCCTGCCAGTTCCCAAATAACTGACACAGAGACTTAGTATGAATTATAAAAGCTCGGCCAGTAGCTCAGGCTTGTTACTAGCTAGCTCTTACAACTTAAATCAGCCCTTTATATTAATCTACATTCTGCCACGTGA